AGTGTATTACAGGTCTAAGGTATATGAAGTGTATTACAAGTCCAAGATATATAAAGTGTATTACAAGTCCAAGATATATAAAGTGTATTACAGGTCTAAGGTATATGAAGTGTATTACAGGTCTAAGGTATATAAAGTGTATTACAAGTCCAGGGTATATAAAGTTTATTACAGGTCCAAGATATATAAAGTGTGTTACAAGTCCAAGATATATAAAGTTTATTACAGGTCTAAGATATATAAAGTGTATTACAAGTCCAAGATAAATAAAGTGTATTACAGGTCTAAGATATATAAAGTGTATTACAGGTCTAAGGTATATAAAGTGTATTACAGGTCTAAGGTATATAAAGTGTATTACAGGTCTAAGATATATAAAGTGTGTTACAAGTCTAAGATATATAAAGTGTATTACAGGTCTAAGGTATATAAAGTGTATTACAGGTCTAAGGTATATAAAGTGTGTTACAGCTCCAAGGTATATGAAGTTTATTCCAGGTCTAAGATATATAAAGTGTGTTACAAGTCCAAGATAAATAAAGTGTATTACAGGTCTAAGGTATATAAAGTGTGTTACAAGTCCAAGATATATAAAGTGTGTTACAGGTCCAGGATATATAAAGTGTGTTACAAGTCCAGGATATATAAAGTGTGTTACAAGTCCAGGTATATAAAGTGTATTACAAGTCCAAGATAAATCAAGAGTGTTTTTGCTGCGAAGCTGTTACTACAACATTTCTTGGTTAATAGTGGATCTTTAAATCCAGATTGTTTAGACAACACATAACCGAGAGAAGAAACGATCTGCAGACGAAGATACAAAGATAATTTGTACTTTACATTTCATGCCCATTTCATACACAAATGGTCAGAGATAACACTCACAAATAATAGAGTTTCTGTAAACTATATACAACATATATATTATACATTATTTTTACAAGCTAGCTAGAATACTACATTTCGTGTATAATTTACTTTCAAAACATAATATAAACTGTCCTACAAAACCAAGATCACTTGCCTGTCTTATAGCCAATTTTAGGAACTTGAAAATTCTGATAAAAATAAAGGAAAATATATATATCCACGGCACGTGTAAGTTTTCTCGTGCATATCAGTAGTAGCGCTGGTTTGTAGTCTCGACGTCCACTACCCGTCTTGCATAAAAGTGAATATGTCCCCAGGAAGTGATGTCTTGGGAGATGACCAGGTGTAGTCACTGTGATTAGTCCAACAACACCCACAGGTCGGACACATGAACACGTAAACGTGTTCTCAGCACGTGCTTTCTTGTTAGATGAATATGTGTAGTCGTAGCTCAATAATAGAATAACAACCGTAGTTTGGATACATGAACTTGCACGTATGTCCTCAGCACGTGGTTTGAGGTGAGAGATGGGTTAACGCTATAGTGTGGGGATAAACCAGAAGTCACTTTTCATATATATGTAATAACTGTTGTGTACAAAGCGCATCTGCATGATAACTGAATTTTTATACATGCAATTATCAAAAAATAAAAACAAAAAAAAAGCTCGAGTCACCGAGGCCATAACGACAGTGTTGAGAAAACGTGCGAGTTTGCGCAGGAAGGCATATGACGAATCTTGGTTAAGTCGAACCTGGCTGAGGGACAATGGCAAGAACTAGTTAATTGTGGAATAAATAAGGTATCTATTGGTCTTGCTGGTGGCTCATTCCATTTGACAGTATTTTGTTTGGGTCCGATAATGTTTTTTATGGAGAAGTTGTTGGACTTGCTGTTGTTAGAGAAGCAGCCAGTTGGAGCATTTGTAATAATGGATGAAGTTGTCGGAAGCCGTAGAGGGAAGGAGGCCGAAATCACAGCAGGTGCTCTCAGGTTGGGCAGTAAACTCAAGCTAATCGGGTGTAGGGACGCCCTAGAGTGATCCCGCGCCGTTAGGAGAGGCACAGCCTGCGGCAGAGGCGAAAGGTACGGGTAGGGGCTAGTGAGGGTCGCCGGAGTTATGGTGGGATGGATGATGGTCGGGTGATGCCGAAACGGTTCCACCGAGGAAAGAAATGCACACGGGTCCTTGAGGAAGTCGGGCTGGAAGCGCTTGTACCTTTTCCTTCGACGGAGGAAACTTCCATTGTCAAACATGTCCTTACTGGCAGGGTCCAGTGTCCAGTAATTCCCCTTTCCTGGATTACCCGGCTCGCGAGGAATCTTTATAAAACAGTCATTTAAAGATAAGTTGTGCCGAATACTGTTCTGCCACATTGGGTACTTCTCTCGGTAAAACGGAAACTTGTTCCTGATAAACTCACAGATCCCGCTGAGAGTCAGTTTCTTCTCGGGCGATTGTAGGATAGCCATCGTGATGAGTGCGATGTACGAATACGGTGGTTTAACCAAGCAGGATTTCGACTTGTCCTGGTTACTCGTCTCTGGTTTTAGAGTCACTTCCTCACTAGTGTCCGATTTAGGACTTTTCACTTGACCGTTGGAACCCGTGTAATTTTCTTCAAGTTGAGGACTCATTTGGTAGTTTGTGCTGACAGCCAACTCGGGATCGTCCGAATCGACGTGAACTGACAGGTCATCTTCGTAATCGGTACAGTCACCGTTGTTTTGATCGGTCAACAAGTGACCAGTTGTTTGCGTCATGAAAGCAGCAGTTCGGTGCAAAGTAGCCATTATGTCGTGCTGCTACACATCACAGGCCAAACATTGAGACCCACATCGAGTTGGGTAATAGTCTAATATATATTATAGGGTTAAACATTGACAAAAGCTAAATTAGAAGTATAAACTATAACGCACGGAAGCGAAACCTCATAAGTCTGTTTTTACTGTAAGCCTGTTTACAAAAGATGTTCCCTGTTTAGCAGTAGACACGGTCACCAATTAGTAGCTGTCCTGTTCACATTAAAGTCCACTGAACAGGATATATTATTTCACCAACCAATGAGGCTACCAAAGTGTCACGTGAAAGCGAGGGGTTGGAAGAGCATTGAGGCTCTTTTGTTAGCCCCGCCTACTGACATATCCTATGGTTCCAGCTTCGCTACAACTAAACTGATCTCGTTTTGGTTTCAACATAATCCCAGTCACAAATAAAAATCTCCATTTCAGGTAAGTCATTTTTTAAAGTTCTTAAACATTATTCTGAAGTAAGACGGAGCCAAGAAAAGTAATTATATTAACATCAATGATATGTGAAAAGGTTTATCTATCACATTTTAGTGAAGAGTCCGGAATTGGACCTATATATAATTACCACACACCTTCGTTTTCACTGTTTTTATGACATACAAAAAACTTCCATTGTTAATTTCCACAGACTTTTAATAAGTAATCACTATTCTGTTATAATTTCTGAACATTACGGAAATATTCCCTAATTTCTATATAAGTGGGTCAAACAATCTAATTACTGCTACGTCTATAAAGTTTGTCCACTTTAAAAGCAAAATTATATAACAATTATAACGGCCCCGACTATACGAAACTCACGTGCTGGTTCGTGTTTGATGTATGATTATGTTTTTCCCAGTTACACAACTAATAGTCTTCGTTGAATTTATGCTCATTTGGTTGTCCCTTGTTAATTATATAACTGATGTAACCTTGTATGTGGAGTACATATACATTATGTAAAGTATGTGAGTATTTAATACAACTGAGCGCGTATTTTAACACCAATTGAACATGGAGAAGGTTGGGTATTATATTACATTATAGAAATGAATAAAAACCCTGTAACCCGAGCGAAAGGTGAGAATATTTGCCCCTGAAGAAGAAAGGTCCACCTTTCGAAAGTG